ATAATAATGAATACTAGTACCTAATTTCTAACATACTGATTCTCATTTCCTTCTCCTTGTCCACTCGAAACCAAAATGCTTTCCCCAAAGGATACTAGCTGGTCTCAAAATGCTTTCCACAGCCCTGTACTCTAAATCTAGCTTCTTTAGGAAATGCTTGAAGTATGAATTTTAATCAGGTATCTCTATGAAAGCCCTTTGGAAAATTCTTTTCCTATATCAGGTTAGTACTAGAGTTTTGAAATGCTTTCTTGATGATTCTAAATCATTTCATAAGAGATCTATTAAGTCTTGACCAAACCAGGCTTGAGAGTGATCCTTGAGAGTTTTTTCCAAGGAGAACCTAATGTTACTATAGATCCCCCTATGGCTCTCCCTACCTAGAGCTTTGAATATTTGCTTAACTTCTTCTTGTTGCTTTCATCTAACATAAATAGCTCTGTGTGCTCTGGAAACATCAGTTTATTAATTTACTGATCCAGAATAGTAAGTTATTTAGTGATGTAACATATGCTTGCAGCTGGAAAAGTATGTGTTAGAGACACATAAATTTCTTAAAATTTAGAGAAAGAAAATTGGCTTCGATTTGGCAGTCCCAAGTGCCCAAGTCCAGTCCAGTTAACTGTTGAGATTAGTTCAATAGGATATTACTATGAGCAGTTACTGGGACAGCTATTATATACATGGGACAATGATATGAAAACTTACTCAGTTCACATGAGAGAAAATATTTAAGAAAAAAAAGCTGAGAGCTGTGAGGAGAAAGTTATATCTAGAGTTCCAGTAGTGTTCCTGTTAGGGCCATGAGAAGGGTTTTGGGGAAAACTGATTCAATCATGTCAGTACAGCCTTAGGAATAGAATTAAGTATTGCTAGTAGAGCTGTGATTTGTTAAAATAAAAGGTAAAGGACTTTTTTTGTTTGTTTTAATTTGACTATTTGCCTAGGTAATATATTCATGTGGCTCCAAATTCAAAGCTACAGAAATTAATACATACACTGAAACGTCTTTATCCTATCCCTATTCCCCAGCCATTTGGTTCCTCACCCCAGAAATAAACAGTATTATCAATTTCTTGTTTTATCTTCCAGGATATTTTATGCATATATGAGCAAACATGAATATATATATTCTCTCTGCCTGCAATTTTTTTTTTTTACTTTATTTTGTTAATCCTCACCTGAGGGTATTTTCCATGATATTTGTATTTATTTTTATTTTTTGTTAATCTTCACCCAAGGATATTTTCCATTTTTAGAGAGAGTGGAAGGGAGGGGGAGAGACAAAGAGAAACATCTCCATGTGACAGAGACACATTGATTGGTTGCCTCCTGAGCGCCCCCCCTAATGGGCCGGGGGCGAAGTACATGCCCTTAACCCAGATCTAACCCAGGATCCTTCTGTTGGAGGGCTGTGGCTCTATCCACTGAGCCAAACCAGTTCGGGCTCTTGTTTTTAATGTAAGCATTTATAACTATAAATTTTCTCTTTCACTGCATCCTATCAAAACTCTTCATGCCCGAGGACAGTATGTTGTACAGACAGACCCCAACTTAGAATGGTTTGACTTAGGAACTTTTGACTTGGCGATGGTGGGAAAGCAGTAGCATTCAGTAGAAACCATACTTTGAATTTTTATCTTTTCCCAGGCTAGCAATATGTAGTGTGACACTTGCTCATGATGCTGGTCAGCTGCAGCTCCCAGTCAACCACCTGATAATGAGAGTAAACAACCGATAGATACTCTACATTGTATTCACTGTTAGATGATTTTGCCCAACTGTAGGCTAATGTAAGTGTTCTGAGCCTGTTTAAGGCAGGCGAGGTGGGGCAACAGATTCCTGATGCTTCCTCCTCTGCCATCTTCCTAGAATCCTCTGCAGCGCAGTTTTAATTTATGTCTCTTATTACTGAGATTGTATATCATTTCATATACTTATATCCTTTACCATTTTTTACTATTGAGTTGTTTTGTTTTTGTTAGAGCTCAAAATATATTTGACTCTTTGTATATAAGTTGTACATATTTTTTCACATTTTGTAATTTATCTTTTGATTTTGCTTTTGGTGTATTTTACTATGCATAAATTTCTTATATTTATGCATTTGAATTTATTCAAAGTATTTTACATAGTTATTTTAGTTAGTAATTTCACATATACAAAAATGTGTTCAGTTTCTGGAAGAGCATATGAGAAATTGGTAACATTGGTTGCCTTTGGGTAGCTAGAGTTACCTCTCTGTGTTGCGGGGGGGTCTTCTCTTCCTTTTCTTTTTCAAATCTTCAATAATCATTAGAACAAAAAGAAGAAAAGCAAACCAAAACCTGCAGTCGAAGCAAGTAACAGTATCCTAGATTCCAGTAAATTGGTTTCTATTCAAGAGGAGCAGTCCACGCCTTCTCCAGAAAAAGGTGATATTAATGGTTACCATGTTAATGGTGCCATCAATGATACTGAGTCTGTGGACTCACTCAGTGAAGGTATGGAGACACTTTCAATAGATGCCAGAGAATTGGAGGATCCTGAGTCTTCCATGCCAGATGTGCTGGACAGAACAGGTGAGTTTATTAACAGATCTTTGAAAAGTTGCATTCTCAGCCAGGGGCTTCCTGGTTGAGAAAGCAATCAAATTAAATCTAGTTAGTCTCTTACTTTTTAGTTTTTGTTACCGCTCATGTGAAAGAGTCACATTTTGTAATTATCTATGGCCTAGAAAAATATAATTATTTTCCATTGTCTCATATTTTAATTTCAGTTTAAAGCAGTCGACTACAGAAGATGCCCTTAAGATTTTTTAAATTGTACACTTATTAAGGAAAATTATTATAATGAATTGATGTTGATATTATTCTAAGATCCAACACAGTGAGAAATATATGATAATAACTGTAAATCCATGAAGTATACTGTTGGTTTTTATAGTCTCACATTTGTTTTCTGATACAGAGTTAAGATTAGTGTTAGTTGTAAATTTACATATTTTGTATGTTTTCCTTTGTTTTATTAACCAATTTGATGAGTGTTGGGAAGATATTGGGAATATCTCTTAAAATAGTTTTTTTAATGGTTTGTTAATCCAGTTCTCCTTGCACAATTGCACTGGCTTTATAAATGTAATGGCAGTTTAAGAATTATGCTGTTCTTTCTTATGTTCTTTTATTGATTTGCACAGCACAGAAAGACAAAGAAAAATATAATTGTTGAGGCCTAAAGTGACCTCAAACAAGCCAAAGATAGTCAGTGGCTTCTTTTTTTTTTTTTTTTTTTCTTTTTTGGAGCGAGCTCTCTCGTTTTCTAACTCTGCTCTTTCTATTCCTTAAAGATTTGAAACTCTTCATGGCCTAGGACAGTATAAACCTCTTTTTCCCTCAACATAATTTATAGAACCTATCAGAAGTTATAAGGAAGCTACAGGTACAAGGAACAAGCTAGTCTATCAGGAGATGGGTTAGCACAGACTTTTCTTCTTCATTCAGGACGCTGCCTACAGCAAAGCCAGAGGGCCTCATTCCGCTGATTGGGCTTAATTGATTTTGTTCACAGCCATTTAAGAAACATCATTTTTTGGGGGGAGAGATTAAAAGAAACATAGTTTTGCCTAAAATATTTCTCCCTTTTTCTTTGTGTGCACTTAGGACTGCTTGATTGATTTATCCTTAAGTCTTGCCTAAAGCACTCTGTTTCTGACAGGATCCATGCTGGAAAATGGTGTCTTTGATTTTGAGTCCAAGTCTTTGACTACGCACCCTACTCAGAATTCTCAACAAAATAGGAATGCTAGCAAATCTCTCTCAAGACCTCAGTTTTCAAATTTGGGCATGGAAGATGTTCCACTCTCCTCCACTAACAAAAAGCTAGGTAAATAGGGGCTTAGCCTACCTTTTAGAGAGAAAAAAAAATCTGTATTTTTGGCTAAGGAGGGCAAGTTACCTCTTTCTTCCCATAGATAAGGTCTGAGAAGGTTCTGTAGGTAATCCTTATACTATTTTCCAGGCAGTGACTATCCGGTTCTTACTGGATTCTGTGTACACAGTTAGAGTCTAATAGTAACTCAAATGCTATACAGTCTTGTTCCAATAGTGGGGATTTTTTGTGTGTGAATGAAAATCAAACTCTACTGCAAGGATGACTTTTATGTTACCATTAATCTGTTTCTTTTACTTGTTTTACTGCACATTTTTATCTTGTTTTCTTCATTTTTATCTCCTGGTTGACTCAACAGTAAAAAGCTCTGACATATTTGAAAAAAATGTTTTCGTTTCTCTTCACAACTTCATACTCTTATTAAAACCTGCCAGACTCTAGTTTTAAACAAGGTCATTTTTCTCTTAAATACTTAGCATTGACTTGTGGTAGCTTTTTGCTTTTTTAAATTTAACTATAATAGTCATTTAAATGATCAGTTAATTAAACAGATGGAGATAATAGCCTTTTTGAGTGTCATACATATACACGTGGTGGTCCACTCCACTAAACAAATGAAACAAATGTGAAAGACACTTGTAACCTGTAGCTCTTTACTGAATTATTTATTCCACATGAGCTAAATTTAATCAGTGAAGTTCTCCTTTTTCATCTTTCTAACATAACCGTCAGCTTCGTGCAAAAAAGCAAATCTGAGAATATTCAGTCAAACAAAATAAAGGCACAAGGCTTGAAAGCTTTTAGGTAGATTTTAAAAGAAACCAAATTGTTATGAGGAAGAATTTAAATTAAAAAATTAAAAATCTATATCTGGGCACATTATAAACTTCTAAGATCTGTGATGCCAACTATCAATTGTATATATAACTTTGACATTGGTGAGTATAGAAAGGTTAATAGAACTTTAGAAACTGGTTAAAATTGTGCTGAGTACATAAATTATTTTATCTTATTTTTAAAAATGTACTTTTATTGATTTCAGAGAGAAACATATATATGAGAGAGAAACATCAATTGGTTGCCTCCAATGTACACATCTCAACTGGGGTTTGAAGCCACAACGTATTTTGGTGTATGGGACAAGGCTCCAACCAACTGAGCCACCAGGCTTGGGCTTTCTAGTAATTTTAAAAATACGTATATTTTTATTGATTTCAGGGTGGAAGGGAGAGGGAGAGAAAGAAGGAATCATTGATCGCCTGTTTCCTGCACACTCCCTACTGGGAATCAAGCCATCAACCCAGGCATGTGCTATGACCTGGTTCATAGGTTGATGCTCAACCACTGAGTCACACCACCTGGGCTAGTAATTTTTTTTTTTTTTTGGATGCCAGACATGAATTTTGCTTTGTTGATTGCTGGATATTTTTGTATTTTTAAAATTTTTCTTGTAATTTTTTCTAGGACTATTCTTTGGAAACAGTTTGAGACTTGCTTTTAAGCTTTGTTAGGTTGTACTGGAGCAGCCTTTATTCTAGAGCTAAGTTTGCATCATTACTAAGCACTTCCAAGTGCTATACCTTGTGCCTTACTCTGGCTGGTACGAAAATGAACTATTCATGGCCCGGGTGCGCTCTGGCGATTGTTCCACTTGCTCCTGTCTTGGATAGTTTCCTCACACTCATGCATTCAGAATCCTCTGTAGACCTCTGTACAAGTCTCTCATCTTTGTGTAGCTCTCTCCTCTCCAGTACTCTGCCCTGGGAATTCTAAACTTGACCTCCCTGAATTCTCAACACTGTCCCCACAAGTCAGTGAGACTTACAGGCTCAGTTTAGGATTTCTGCTCCTTGCATTACAGCCTGAAAACTTTCTTGGGCCATAGACCTCACTTCTTTTATTTCTATTTTCTCAAGGAAAAAGTACTGCCTATTGTCCACTGTCTGAAAATCATTGATTCAGATTGTATGTGTGTGTGTGTGTGTGTTTTGTGTAATATAAGAGGGTAAATTTAAATTCCTATTACTTCTTGGTCAGGATACTTATTATTTATTTTATTTATTTATTTATTTTTTAAAAAAAATATATTTTATTGATTTTTTACAGAGAGGAAGGGAGAGAGATATGGTTGGCTGCCTCCTGCATGTCCGCTATTGGGGACCAAGCCCACAGCCTGGGCATGTGCCCTGGACTGGAATCGAACACAGGACCCTTTAGTCCACAGGCCGATGCTCTATCCACTGAGCCAAACCAGCTAGGGCTTATTATTTTTTTTAAAATGTGAAAACATCAGTTTTTTTATTGAAGAGGGTAGCCTTTGGGAAACTTTCTTAGTCCACACATTTGTTAGTTTACATGTTTAGGTGTTCAGATCCATCTTTCAAGTTATCTATACTTTTAAAGATTAATCTTTGGGGCTTTTTCCTCAAGGTTCCAATATTGAAAAATCTGTGAAAGACCTCCAGCGCTGCACAGTGTCTCTTGCACGATATCGAGTTGTAGTTAAAGAAGAGATGGATGCTTCCATTAAGAAAATGAAACAAGCTTTTGCTGAATTGCAGAGCTGGTAAGTTAATTTGATATCAGTAGCACAAAAATGATTATAAAGATGGTCAACCATTCATCAATGCACTAGGTCAACCATTCAACTACTGCACTCCTAGTGCCTTTAATTCCTGACTACTTTACATAGTGGGAGAGACGTTAAAATCCCATGATAGAGTTAGCTTTCTGCTTTGTTCTGCTTTTGGTGACAGTGTGGGAATGAGTGGGACAGAGAACTCATAATGCTCTAGATATGGGCCTGAAATTCATATTGTTTGGAAAGGGGCAAACAATTATGCATTCTCACTTTAGGGATATATAATCAATGACATGATATTTGTGAAAAAAATAATAAAGAAGGAGAGATCTGTCTTTGTTTTCCTACCTCCTTTCATCCTTCCTAACACATCCCATTCTAATTTGTGCTCTATTATGAGTCATTGATTTGTTTTTAATTTTGTATTTTTCAAACTGTGTCTTAAAGATACTCATATCTGCGAGAGTTGAAGACTGAGTCCAGGGAGCACAGGATAAGATACTCATATCTTAAAATTTATTAATATGTACTCTGTAGGGGAAATACAGTTTGGTAGTTAAATAAGTTTGAAAATACTTTTAACAAAAATTTTACTACTGCACTTCTAGTGCCTTTAAAATGTTAATGTGCATTGTGAATCTTCAAGAGGGAGATATACTGTGCTGTTCCTCACATGTATTTGATCATAGAATCTTTTGGGGGTGGGGAGAAATATATTCTAATGTTTTCTAGAATACCAACGCTATTTTAATTATTTGGTATTAGTGGTTATTGGTATTTAAACCATAACTCCTTTTTGGGAAGCATTTGCATTTTTTTTAAATATATTTTATTGATTTTTTACAGAGAGGAAGGGAGAGAGATAGAGAGTTAGAAACATCGATGAGAGAGAAACATCGATCAGCTGCCTCCTGCACATCTCCCACCGGGGATATGCTCGCAACCAAGGTACATGCCCTTGACCAGAATCGAACCCGGGACCCCTCAGTCCGCAGGCTGACGCTCTATCCACTGGGCCAAGCCGGTCTCGGCAGCATTTGCATTTTATAAAGGGACTTTTTTGAAGTTAGAAAGGACTTAAAGAACAAATTAAGTACAATTATGGGAAGAATGCAGCTATGTTGACATTTTGAGATAGAGGACTGTCTGCTCTGCTTATTTGTAAAACTTGCTTGAATTTCTGAAAAATGAGAGGAAGTGCTCATGAATAAAGAGAACCTATGCCATTCTTCCTCCCAGCCATCTGTTTTCTTGCCTGTCATGATCCCTTAGGTCAGTGGTTCTCAACCTTCTGGTCCTTTAAATACAGTTCCTCATGTTGTGACCCAACCATAAAATTATTTTCGTTGCTACTTCATAACTGTAATGTTGCTACTGTTATGAATCGTAATGTAAATATCTGATATGCAGGATGGTCTTAGGCGACCCCTGTGAAAGGGTCGTTCGACCACCAAAGGGGTCGTGACCCACAGGTTGAGAACCGCTGCCTTAGGTCATGCTCAACTGTGTCTCTATTTTCAAACTTAGTCTGGTTACGTCATGCCACAGCAGACCAGAAATAGAGGGAGTATGGGTGGCCTCAGTGCTCCTATTCTCTGGAATTGAAGAGGAGTGAATTAACAAAGATGTAGAATGAAACCTCCAAAAAGTTCCTGACCCCCGTGTTTACCATTTGTAGATTTTAGAGTGGTTCATTCAGCCATTATAACCAAAAAGTACTTCTGGGATAGGTAATTCATATACTTGTCTATCCATGCTTTGTCCTAAATCCCAAGTTTCCCCTTTCAGGCTTTATAACTTAATGTCTATCTTCTGTTTTTCTTACAAACATTTTTGCTCCAGCCTAATATGTAATATGCTCTTCTTTGTACATGTCTAAATCCAACTAATTATCCCAAACTCACCTTAAATTAAGTTCTAACTTCTGGAAATTTTTCTAAGTAACTGATTTCTTCTCTTTCTGTACCTCTTCAAGGAAGTATTATGCCCTTTTCCCTGGATTATGATCATATCAGATATTGGCTCATTTGGAAAAGAATGAAGTGCTAAGAGTAGGTCATCACAACTTTGCCTTGATAAGCCTCTGGTCTCCATGATTGCGTAGTTTGCTGGTTACTTAGCCACAGGATCTGATTCCATTCAGAACCAGCCTGAAGCAGGAAACACAGTTCCGGGAGAGAGATTTGTGAGTTCCTGTTGACTTGGAACCCAGCCAGGGGGAGCCTCCTTCAGTAAATGACAAATGAAATGGTTTCCTACCTGGGAACTGTGTATTTAGGATTGATTAGCAGACATAGCAACCAGGTCAATTTACTTTGAGGAAAGAGATTACCTGCCCTTTCCTGCTGATATAAAACCCTTCTCTCTGGCTGATTGGGTTTTTAAACTACCTTATTTCAGTGTCCCTTATAGTTGTTACTTCAAGACATAATTGGCAGGTGAGCTAACTCCATTTGGCACCGAACCAGACCTTGGAGTTAATGTCACTTAGGAAGCCATTTTTTTGTGTTGGTTATAGTGTAAAAGCAAAGCAAAGGGTTCTAACAAATTTCCAACAGTAAGATTACATTACCCTTGCTGGGGCGCTAGGGGAATTATACAAATAACTGCTTTCACTTTGAGGCCAAATGAAAGCTGAGACATACCTGTGGGAAGGTAAAATCAAAAGCTCTAGCATAACACTCAAAAATCTGGTTGTATTGTTGATTCAGTAATAATCATCTCTGGACTTAAGTTTACTTTTCTTATTATTAGTAAAATTTGTCTGACATTGTTGGAACTATTAGTTGACTTAAGTTTAAGGCTATTAAGGAGCAGGATATGGAGTGGAACATGAAGCTGGAATATACTAGTATGAACTACTTTAAGATGGTTGTCATATGTGTTGTTGAAAAATACAGGATACTACAGTCAGCTTGCCTTTTAAATAAAAATTTCTATTTTGTTGACATCAAAAGGTACTTTACAAAAGGAGAAAACAGGTAAGAGAAAAAGACTGTCAAGAAATTTGAGGTTATACATAAAATCCATGTAAGTCTGTGCTTAAGATTGTGAAAATGTCCTAGCTGATTCCTCATTGACCTTAGAAAAGTTACTTTTATTTGAGCTTCTCTTTTCTTCTTATATTAAAAAATTTTTTTAATATATATTTTTATTGATTTCAGAGAGGAAGGGAGAGTGAGAGAGAGAAACATCAATGGTGAGAGAGAATCATTGATTGGCTGCCTCCTGCACGCCCCCTACTGGGGATCAAGCCTGCAACCCGGGCATGTGCCCTTGACCAGAACTGAACCCAGGACCCTTTAGTCCACAGGCTGACACTCTGTCCACTGAGCCAAACCGGCTAGGGCTCTTTTCTTCTTATGTTAAGCTACTAGGATTATTACCAAAGGCTTTTAGATCCTTAAACTTACAGTCTAGGTGGAGATACTGGAATCATTTTATAAAACAGAGCACTTCAAAAATGTCTCAGAAAGCATAGAAATAAAGGAATGGGCTAATGTGTTATTTAAAATGTACATATCATTTTATAGTTTTAAATTCAGTTTTTGATGTTTAGCATATTGATACCTTATTTCTACTAGTACTTTAGCTCCATTGGTCTCTGTTCTTTTTTTTTTTTAATATATTTTTATTGATTTTAGAGAGGAAGGGAGAGTGAGAGGGAGATGGAAACATCAATGATGAGAGAGAGTCATTGATCAGTTGCTTCTTGCATGCCCCCTGCTGAGGATCCAGCCTGCAACCCCGGGCATATGCCCTTGACTGGAATCGAACCTGGGACCCTTCAGTCTGCAGGCTGATGCTCTGTCCACTACGCCAAAACAGCTAGGGCTCAGTGTTCTTTGATTTAAAAATTTAACTCTTAAAAAAGTAAAATAAAAATCTAACTCTTTAATAATTTCTGAAAATAACTAAAAACATGAAAGTTACAATTACCAAACATGTTTAATCATATTATCAGGTATATTTATCCAGATTTTTATCCTAGGAAGTAGGAACTTTTTATTTGACTTTACTATTTTTAAAAAGAAATATCTTTTTCATTGACTTTTTAAAGAGAATGGAAGGGAGGGGGAGAAACAGAAAGAAACATCGATGTGAGAGAGACACATCAACTGGTTGCCTCACGCAGATATCCTGACCAGGACCAGGGATAGCCAGGGATCGAGCCTGCAACTGAGGCACATGTCCTTGACCAGAATCAAGCCAACGACCCTTCAGTCCTCAGGCTGAGGCTCTATTTTTAAAAAAATATTTTTAAAAAAATATATTTTATTGATTTTTTACAGAGAGGAAGGGAGAGGGATAGAGAGTTAGAAACATTGATGAGAGAGAAACATCAATTCAGCTGCCTCCTGCACACTCCCTACTGGGGATGTGCCCGCAACCAAGGTATATGTCCTTGACCGGAATCGAACCTGGGACCCTTCAGTCCACAGGCCGACACTCTATCCACTGAGCCAAATTGGTTAGGGCAAAAGTGAAATAAATTTTT